ATCCTCAAAAGATAAAGATACTAACAGTCATGCCATGAGATCCTTAATTTTTTTTGGTATTGTCCATATCGCCTCTTGGATATCCTTGTTCCTAAAACTATAGATGATGGGATTCAGAACTGGTGGTAACACTGTATATAAGACGGCGGAAATTAAGTCCACAGTGGGAGTGGAGAGTGCTCTAGGCCTTGTGTATGAACACACTCCTGTGATGAAAAACAAAGAGAAGACAGTCAAGTGGGGAGTACAGGTAGAGAATGCTTTGTATCTTGCTTGAACTGATGGAATCCTCAGCACTGCAAAGAAGATGTAGACGTAGGAAGCACAGATAAATGCAAAACAAACTGACTCCACACTAGACACAACGACAAAAATCATAATCTCATTGACTTTTGTATCAGTGCAAGAAATCTTTTGCAACTGTGGCATATCACAAAAATACTGCCCAATCACATTAGATCCACAGAAGTTCAACCTGAAAGTTAAACCGGTTTGCAGTGCTGCATGGAACAGGTTGCTTATCCAGGAAGCCGCTACCATTTGGAAGCAAGCATGCCTCTTCATGATTAACCCATATTGTAGCGGAAGGCAAATTGCTACATAACGGTCATATGCCATGATAGTGAGTAAGGCAAGCTCAACACCAGCACAAGCGACAACTAAATAGATTTGTGTAACACACCCAGCAAAAGAGATCTGTTTGCTGTTTTTTAATGAAACACTTATGGATTTGGGAACAGTAGTAGTGATGTAGCAAATGTCTATAAATGCTAGGTTGACCAAAAAGAAATACATGGGGCTGTGAAGGTGGTAATCTAGGGCTACAGCTGTGATGATAAGCAAGTTGCCCACTAAAGCTATTAAGTAGACGACAAGAAATATCACAGAATGCTGAATTTGACCGTCACGATCATCAGAAAATCCCATCAGAAGAAACTCCGTCACTATAGATTTGTTAGTCATTTCCTTTCCTTGAATCCTGCATGAAGAAATTAAAGAATACTAAGTTACTGAAGGATTTAAATACATGTGCACCATTATTACATCTCATCAAACAAGGTTACTGTTTAGAACAGAGTA